AAATATATTACTTCTGCATATAATTTGAATCTAGAAGATAGTAACTGGATTGTAACAAATTCATTTATAATTTTTACTATGCAAACGGGTAAAGTCTTACGTTAAATGATCAAGAAATGCAACAGAATTTATTTCTTTGTTTTATTCAGGTTTTGGTATGTTGGAATCTGGATGTGTTTCTTTAAAAAATGAAGTTAATATTATGATGAAAAACGTGGTTGACATAGTGCTTGGTGGTTTAACTTATTGGGCATTTGGTTTCGCGATGAGTTTTGGAACAAGCAAGTTTAATAATCCTTTTATTGGTTTAGGAGAATTTCTGATAGATCCTTCAGTAGAAGATACACTTATGGGTCCAAAATGCGCTGCATTTTTATTCCAATTAAGCTTTGCAACTACTTCAACCACCATTGTAAGCGGTGCCATGGCTGAGCGGTAATTATATGAAATAATTATATAAAATAATTTACAAAGTCTAATTGGATATTATATGATTGCAGATGTAATTTCAAAGCATATTGTTTATTTTCTTTTTTAAATACAATTGTCTACTGTGTACCAGCAGGATGGTTATGGGGTGATCAGGGTTTTTTAAAAAAAATGGGTGCTGTTGATATCGCTGGTTCTGGAGCAGTACATCTTGTTGGTGGCAGTTCTGGTAAAATATTGACATCTTCTCTCGATATAATTTGTTAATAGATATTTAAAATATTAATTTATAACAGCACTTGCGTGTGCCATTATGTTGGGACCAAGAGTAGGCAGATATGACAATGGAATTGATCCATTGCCTCTTGGGTGTCCGGTCAATGCTATCATGGGTTTATTTGTACTTTGGTAAAATAAATAATCAGACATTTCTCATTCACAGATTTGGATTGTCAGATATATTAATAAACAATAATTGTATAAGGTGGGGCTGGTTAGCTTTTAACAGTGGTAGCACATATGGTATCAGTGGACAACGATGGCAGTATGCTGCTAGAGCAGCAGTTTCTACTATGTTAGCAAGTATGGGAGGTGGTTTAATTGGATTAGGCTTCAGTCTAAATGGTCCAGATAGAATTGACATTCTAAGTCAAATAAATGGCATTCTTGGTTCACTAGTGGCAATTACAGGTAAGTTTCAATACAAGATCATTCGTGAATATTCAATAAAGTATCTATGGTCTTAACAATAACTTCACAGAATTAGTTAGGTGGCTGTTTCCTTTTCAGGGCATGGGAGGCCATAATCGTTGGAATGATTGGTGCTTTTATTACATGTTTTTCCATGCCCATCTTGGATAAAATGCACATTGATGATCCTGTTGGAGCTAGTGCAACACATGGTTTTACTTTTCTCTTTTGAGTTGACTAATTTATTTTTTATGCATCTCCTATTTTATTGATTAGTTTTTCTTGAATATAGGTGCAAGTGGAATTTGGGGTATCATTGCCATAGGTTTATTTGCAGACAATCCACATCCTCTTGATACTACCAATGGAAGAAAAGGATTATTCAAAGGTTTACAACAAAAAATTTGACTTGATCATTGGACCAAATTCCATAGAACTATTTTTGTGTTTATAGGAGGAGGATGGTATTTGTTAGGTGTACAATGTTTAGTAGTTGTATGCCTAGCATTTTGGAGCTTCATAGTATCTATTATATTGCTATGGGTAAATTATATTAGATAGTAACTCAAATTATATTTCCTTACTAAATCTGTTATTTAATTGCAGTTTTACATTTTTCTAGTTTATAAATAAAATCATACCGATAAGAATGAGCATTCATGATGAGCTTCTAGGTGCAGATTTAGTAGAACATCGAATACGACATCCACAGGTTTTTATTTTAACTATTACATATTCGTAATTAAAAAATTGTATACATTACAAATTGATTATGCATACTTTTAGATTGGAATAAGTAGAGCTATGTCTGCACTTCGACCAGCTTCGCAAAAACACGAGTTAAGTAACGTGCATCCCATAGGAATCAATCCTGGTAAGATGCGTTTAAGTTGAAATATATTATTGCTCAATTAATTATGTAACTCGATTTGCACTAGGTCACGATTTATACATTGAAAAACATAATCGTAAAAATCGCTTGAAATATGGAAAACAACTTTTACTTGGGAAAAAGTTATCAAAGAGTCCTAAGTTGAATACTGTTACTGATGCTGTATTAAACGATAAAAACAAACCGAATTTCGCTTGGATAGATTAGTATTTTCCAATGTTTTCAACATTGTAACGATCGTAGATTTATTAGAAACATATAAATGTATTCACATACACTTTATAATGTTTTCACACAACACTCATATATATATATATATATATATATATACATGAGTACCATGTAGAGGCAATCTTTGATAAATAATTAAAATTTTACACAAATCTGTTGAAAGATCACAGACATTGTAAATACGTATAATATCCTAACTAATAGCATGGCACCTAAATAGAAGTCTCTTTTGTTATAAGTTTCAGATAAAATATTATTATGAAAAATTATTTGTCATCTTTATTTATCAAGGACGTAATATTGGACGCTTTTTACGCTATGATAGGCAGGAATTGCTCTTCGAAGACTGTATTACATAGACACCAAGAAAATAACAATTCCTAATTTCTCTCATTTTGTTCGATATTATTAAATATTAGATCTATACATATGCTTATGTTAATCTCATATCATAAATGCAAACTACACTTTTTACTGTGTTAACATATGGCCTAATTAGATACCATAGTTATTTTTACAAAATACTTGATATTCTTTTAATACTACTAACTACACTAATAATTTTATGTATGTAAAATTATATGATTTTGAAATGAAATGAATATATGTGTAAGATGCTTATACAAAATATAGTATAGGAAACAAACTTCAGCTTTTTGAAATAAATAATTAAAGTAAAAAAAAAATACATTTAAAAAAATACAAATTTCATACTTATTCTGCAAAATACTTATTTGTTGGCTAAAATTGCAAGTAACTAATTACATTATAGATGTAACTTTAGTATCTGCAATTTTATGAATAATCCATGATTACATGTTAATTACTGCCCATTGAGCCACCTCTGTTGGTAATCCAGAATAATTTTTTACAGCTTCTAGAACTTGCTGCGGGGTGAGCAAAAATTTATAATATTGATATTCTTTCTCAACTTTTGAATTCATACCACCCACTGGCAATAAAAATTCTAAATTCTGTGAAAATGATGTGCACAGTTTTGAAATCAATATGCCATTCATATAATAATATACAATATCATTTTACTCCTACTTTACAGCCCTTACCTTAATATGTTCAAATGCTTTCATAATAACAGGCTTTTGAACAGTTTGTATAGAAGAATTTTGATTAGCAAATTTTATGTAACGATTATAAATTGCTTCAAAATTAAATGGCTCCCCATCATAAATTTCTGTTTCATGTTTCATTGATATTATCTAAAATAATAGTATGTTTGTCAGAAATACATCCTATGCCAAAAGAAAAAGCAATAAACACACTTACTAAACACATTTCTAATACAGACAATCCCTCAAGCATTAGCACCTTATCATCTTGGGCAAACATTTTGCTTGCTTCTACAAAATCATTTACTTCTAGTCTCTGATGCTTCTCTGACAATGTAGAAACAGCCATTGCTAAAAAGTTTCTAAAGCTTCTTTCACTAATATCGATCTGATACATTCTTTTTAATAGATTCACCATAGTAACATTACTAACTAAACTTTTTATATATTCATTCCACACAGATCCAAACTGTGGGTCTATTGTACAATCTTCATATTGATGTTCTATCCTATTTACATTCTCATCGTCAGGAAGACTTAAAAGATGTTGAAAAAGTTCTAAACGATCATCAAAGGCAGATGTTGGTTGTTCTGAAGATGATGTATCTCCAGGAAATAAAAATATTTGTCGATGAGAAAATCTTGATTTAACTCTTTTCTCTAAGAGTTCTATAACATCTAATCTACAAGTCATTCCAATCACACATATAGGAGCCTAAAGAGATGAACATTTAATATGACTTTCAACTCAATTTCAAATCAATGCAAAACTCTACTTTACACTTACTTGTGCAGATTGAGCAACATCAAACAAATTATATAACAGAGTTTGATTGTTGTGTTGGCAAAACAAGTCAAACTCATCTAATATGAAAATAACTGGTTTGGAACGTTTCTTATCGCCTGATTTCAAAGAATCAAGAAGGAAAGTTAAATTTTCAGCAAAAGTGCCAAAAACTTTATCACCAACCACATTTTCCAACTGCATTTGACGTGTAGCATCTTTCAAAGCCAAGCGATCATCAGTGTGAACAAGACCATGAAGATTCACTATCAATGCATTCTCTTTAAAACTTTTTATATACGACAATTCTTTTAAAACACTGTTTATCAACTACAAGAAAATAAAGATTTATAGAAAGACATATTGAGCTAATTATAGTTTTTCTAATAAAACTAATAACAGAAAACATACTGTTGTTTTTCCACTACCCCTAGGTCCAATTAACAAAGCAGAATTACTTTCACCCATTTCCACTGTTCTTTTTAACAACTCTAATATATGCATTCTTTCTTTAACATGATGCCTGAACTTTGTCTCAGGACACATAATCTTACGTTTTAAATATTTCCTTGTTAACAATATCATATTATCTTGGAAATCAATTGCCATATTTTTCTTATTCATATTAACTTCTCTAAAATGCGCCAAAATTTCACTATTAATTCTCGTTAAGTATCTTTTTCTATGGATTAAAATATGATGAAACAATGAGTTTCTATTTATATCTTATCCATAAAATTATTTCATTCATAATTTCGTTTTGTCACAGAATTTGAGATAAAATTTGATGATCATATAGCATCTCTGATTAGCCAAATATAACCTATTAATTTTAGCAGAAGATGTGTACAGTACCTTCAGATCGTACTTACTGAAAGATTTAACTCGGTTATTTCGTTATCGGTTGGCCGATCAAAGGATCGAGATAGTATTTTTACGGATTCTAAGATACTTGGGAAATATTGAATTTTAAAATTATAGAAACACTGGAACCAGGTTGTTTACAAAACAAATATGGAAGACGCAGAATCCAACACAGACAAGAAAAATTGCACGTTTTTATTTAAAAGGAGGAAAATCCGAAGCACTGCGGCCAGAAAACGCAAAACAGCAAATGACGGAAATGGTAAGTACAATCGAGAAACATCAGATTTTTCTTCTAACGTTCCAATGGGCTGTAATTTCATTATATAAACTCGATTAGTATTATCTATAGGTTATGTTTATTGCCTATAAGTAATAACGTATTTTGTTGTATTTCTTAAATAGAGAGCAGTGAGGATGAAACTACAGTGGTTAAGAAGGAGAAGAAACAAGACGATAATAATCCTATGAAACAAAGTGTAAGTATTAGGTAGAACCATATGTTTGCCTCTATTATTAAGCAGATTATAATGTTCAATGAAATTCAAATGTTAACAAAAATGGAAACTTGTTGTAAATACAGCATTTTGCAGACTAATACGAAGAGATTAAAAGATCAACAGAAAGATATTGACAATGATAGCAGCGAGGAAGAAAGCATTACAGTGTCTTACAAGAGTTCTAGAACTCCTATGCCAGCAGGACCAAGCGATCAAGGAGCAACAGCAATTTTGGAAACAGAGACAGAGAAAGACAAAGATGCTCAAGCTTTGTTTGAGAAAGCTCAGAAAATTAATGAAGTAAGTATAAAAACTCGACGCAGATATATCTGAGGATAGAACAGTATCATAGGAGGATAATAATGTTTATCTTAGGAACTTGAAGGAAAAGAAGACGACAAGATTTATAGGGGTTTGAACAATTATGCTCAATATTACAAGAAAAAAGATACAGCTGCTGGAAATGCTTCCAGTGGTATGGTTCGCAAAGGACCAATCAGGGCACCGTCCAATCTCAGAGCAACTGTTAGATGGGACTATCAACCGGATATTTGTAAAGATTATAAAGAAACTGGTTTTTGTGGTTTTGGAGGTAAATATATTTAAAACCTTCGTAGCTGTTAAAAGATTAATCATTTATTCTACTTCATTTCATTTCAATTCCAGACAGCTGTAAATTTCTTCATGATCGATCAGATTACAAATTGGGTTGGCAGTTAGAAAGAGAAGCTGCTACAGGAGAATACAATAATAGCGGAGACGAAGATGATAAGAAATACGAAATCGACAGCGATGAAGAGACGTTGCCGTTTAAATGTTTCATTTGCCGGAATAGTTTTACAGATCCTGTCGTTACTAAGTATGTGTTAAAATATTACACTCTACAAAAATTCCAGTCAGACGTAAGATATACGAGACGAATTTATTCTTTCAGATGCAAACATTATTTTTGCGAGAAATGTGCTTTAGAGCATTACAGGAAAAGTACAAGATGTTACATATGCAATGTACAAACGAACGGTGTGTTTAATCCAGCTAAGGAGCTAATCGCACGAACGAAGATGGAAGAGAAAACAAAATCTGCCGAGGACGATGAAATTTCTGACGAATAATAAAGCATATATATTTTTCTTAGTAGTATTTTTTCCCCCAGACAGTTGCAATTTCTTGTATATCCGTATCCTGATTTTTATTGTGTCTATCAGTTAAAAGAAATCTACATTATACACTTAAAAATTTTTGTTTCTAAGTAATTTTAAATCTATTCGCCGAAAGCTGTATCTTCTCATATTCAAAAAAAAAAAAAAAAGAAGAAGAAGAAAAAAAGAAAAATGGTGAGTTTAACGCGTCAATTATAACTGGTAGAAAAAAAAAACTGGAGGAAATACGAGCATAGATGGATAGCGGGTAGGTCGACAACCCTTGCCAGCAAAGGGTCTAGATTTGGAAGACCCCGGTGTATGAGCCATTCCACAAACACTCGTCGAATTGACGTTGAACAAGGGCCGAGGGGAGGCACAGTGGTGCTTTCGCTATATAGAGCGAAGGTGATTCTAGCTGCTCGTAGTTGTTTCCTCAATCGATACACGCGCAGTGTTGTTTGCCTCATACTATGGAAATGTTACCGAAGCTGCTCGTTTTCGACGGGCATCGAAGAAACTTGTAACACCGAGATGCAAACGTCACGAAACCATTCGAACGGGATATCTCACGACGAATCGTGAGATCGTGGACATCTGAAGAAGTTGCAAAACGGAGCTATCACTGCGAGAAAGGGTTCGAGGATTCTCGTATCAGCCACTTGCCGTCCCTTTCATTGATTTCTAAGACATGAACGCCGCGCGCAAAAACCCGGAGGTGTAACGTGATTATCTAACAAACTGGAAGACTAATATAAAAAAAAAGTGTGCGTGTTTCGTCGTATGAATTGTAAATTAAGACGATCAGATTAACGGGGAATTTCCCTGCTGCGGAAGACTCATTTTCGGTGGACTGCCGGCTCGAAGTAGCTATTAGTGGCTGGGGCAATGCTACGTTAGTCGAATACCACGAGATTTTAATTGAGTTATGGTCAGTCGAATTCTGTCGTGCAAGTGATCCACTTCCCGACTGAATGAAACTCCATTCGTACACTGGTGTCGTTTTAACGAACGTTTGCTATCAAACCGATCCTGGGACGCATCGTGCTACAAAGTGATAAGAATATGATGGGGAATCGTGCTTTTCACGCATGATGTTACGGTGTACGCGGTAAACAGCTGTTATCAGAGTTTCTCCGGAGAACATCGACAGCAGCTTCCAAATTGGAATTGCACGTCTATCATCGACGATCGGACACAGTTCGTTTGATCTCAAGCGAAATTGATAAGCGGACGATCGACGACCGATGTTTCTGGTCCAATGTGTTAATCGTCGTTGAACGACACGCTCAGCAAATCAAGTGATGGAAAAACTAACTGTTAAAACGAACGTGCGGAAGGTGTTACGTTTCGCGGAAATCTTCTATTAACCAGGTAATACGGCAAAAAGTGCTACGCTATTGAAATGAGTTGTTTTAATATGCGAGCACGCATACTTAGTCGCGTCCCTATTGAAATCCACGTACGTGTTCAAACATCAACGACAAGAGGTCCACAGACCCCCCAGAACCGCGTACAGTGTGTTAAAAATTGTTCAAAGATACTATGAAAAGCGTTGGAAATAATGAAAAGACAAGAAGCTTTTCAATACTTGTGAATATTATTTTTTGATTTTTTTTTCTTTCTTTTTTTTTGTGGAGCTTAGACTTTGAGCAAAGTTGAACAAAGTAACTTAAGAAATTACTGTTTTCAAACAGAGAAACTTATTGTATGATAATCTTTTTACGCGTTCCAAAATTCCTTAATAGGAGTTATCAATCTCCTTAACAATCAATTTTTATCTATTCTAAAATACAGACTATTTAACACCACTTTCAATCAGGTTTAAACCTTATGGTTCATTTTCAAAATAATCATTTTTAATCTACTTTACTCCATTTTGCAAATCAATTTCATTTCTATAGAAATGTCAACATGTCTAATTATCACACCTACGTTTGACACCATCCCAATCAAATTTTGAATCTGATATTTTAAGTATTTACTAATTTGAGACAGTCGTAATAGTAATTTCCATACAATTTTAGACTTGCGTGCGACCGATTAATTTTGTGATCAATCTTGCAAATCAGTTTCGCCTGCGTCTATATGTACTTAAATACCAAGCCTACATTTCATAGTTTCGATCAAACTTAAACCAAAGGTTTAAAGTGATATAATTAGCAATTTGCGACAATCATAACGATAATTTTCGCACTATTTTAGACTTCGCACTACATCTGCACCTCACCTATCCTAATTTACAAATCGGTTTTATCTGCTAACGTATATCAGCATACTTAAACATTTAAGTCTATATCATTCCAATCGAGCTTGAAACGTAGAACGTGATGTTCAATGTGAAATTACCAGTTCGTGACCAAAACGTAATTACAATTTCCATACCATTTTAAAAAGTTGTCCGAGAAATTTTGTGACTCACTGTATCTGGCTAATTACCGCTAATCGCCAATTAAATACAGTTATCGTCGGCGGTATTTAAGTCTGTGCGTATCGCTGCTGATCTGTGTTGCGCACGGACGTCGACGAATATAAAAGCGAATATTAAAGCGAACCGAGGCAGGGTGCTGCAGTCAGTGAGAGACCGGATCGCACGGTGCATACATATACACGACGGTGCTGTCGCGAAATTTTCTGTTATGCGTCACAAGCGCTACAGAAATTCAACGAGTGCGGATTGTAATACGTTGCCAATCGAACACGTGTGGCTTCTATTTCCTATCTGTCGGACACCGAAACGATACTCGCGTAATCATCACCGCCGCCGTAACAGACGATCCTGCCTAGTCGCGATTTGTGTACGGAGACATTTCGACGAAGATAATCAATTTCATCAGAAAATAAACACGCGTTTGTACAGGCGTACGCGTCGCGTTACAAAGAGCATGTGATCTAATCTAGGGATTTAAAAAGAATAAAGACGAACGGGAGATGTGAGCTTCGCTGTGCTTTTGTCATTGACATCGGTAAGGAGATCGTGTGATTCACTTCACGTAGCTTGACTCTTTCACGACTGGATGTGTCTAGTCTGATAATCTTCCAAACGAAGTGTATATACCATAGAAATATATTTTTTTCGGAAATATATGTTTTCGTGGAGGAGATCCTTGATTTGGGTTTAATCCTTTTGATATTGCTTTTCAAGTCTAATTTTCTGGAGTATTTTATATGATATTTATATTAATATCGTATGTTGTTATATTTCATGTCATATATACTCCCCAGAAGGAAGAAAATTATTTCTTTTACTAATTAATATTATGATTTTTCGAAGAAGATGTAATGTACTTTTAAGAAAGATAAATACGTGTGTCATTCAGTTAATTAATGTTAATAGCCTACGAGGAGAATTGTTTGCTAATTAAATAGTATAAACACATTCGTTCGTCGAGTAGCCAAAGTTACACGTTTATCATTTAATTGATTAGTGATTAATAGCCTACGAGAAAAATTACTGTTTCAAATGATTTAAGCGAAGAAGAAAATTCCAAAGTCTACCAAAAAATTCTACCGAAAGCAAACGCGTTTAACGTACAATTGATTAATAATTCATTCAAAACACAAACGTCGGATACGCGCAGAAGGATTGGGTATTTTATTTTTTAATTTGTTTGCGATTCTCGCGTCTGATTTGTTTTTATGCAATTCGTACACGATTCGTGTAAATTGGATGTACATGCGCGTAGATACAGCCTGTTTTATCACGAAAGTGTTGACAAATATTTGTCTTTCTTGAATATTTTGTAATCCGAGTGTTCGTTAACTTCCTACTGCATCGACCGCTCATGTTGTTTGGAATTTCACAACGAGAATATTTCCCCAATGATAATTGTATCTTGCTAAATATTTAATAAGCGTGAAATACGCGTTATCAAACGGCATGAAGAAGCTTCAAAGAGTCGCTGATTATCTCATAGATCTCAAACGATCAATGAAAATGGACAAATATCAAGTATAGGGGAAACGAACAAATATCGTGTGTGATGATACTCCGTTGACGTTTATTACGTGACTGCTTTATCCAGTGTACACGTTCGATGCCCGAACATGATATATAGCACGCGCGATCAACGAAAATTATACATTTATGTCCTGAGCAAGTTTCAGGGATGAAAGTATAGGCGATCAAATATATACATACACGTGTATGAATGTTTTAACTATTGCGATTCTTGGAACCACTAAAAATAATTGCGCGCCGGAAAAGTGATATAAATGTAGCATATGTATATATATATATATATATTTTTTTTTTTTTTTGACGAACGTAATAAATTCAGGAAACGACAGGCAAAATCCGTGTTTATTTAGAGGATTTTTTAATGAAATTTATTACGTTTGTACGAGAGCGTGTCTGACAATATGTTTTGGTACGTGCCGATGTATAGATTTTGTTAAGGATTAATCTTTTTCGATTAAAGTCGAAATATTCTTTTCTTCTCAATTAATTTACATTATCGAAGTTTGATATCAATATTGTAGTTGCGAAAAGGAATTCCAAAGATACTTGGATCGGTATTTCTTTTCTTTTAACGAAATAACGTACATATTTATAATGCTTGATATGATAATTTCTTCTTCAAATTGTGGAAGATTTTTTTATGTTTAAATATAACTATACGAGACAATGTTTGATTATATGTTGTTACCATAATTTAATTTTATTATTTATAATTTATTGTTATTATTATCTGATTTAATTTAAGGCATTTTATTCCGATTTTTTTAATAACGCACACAATTGTTTTTACATTATTTTAGTGCTTAAGCCTTAATTTACCCCCCGTCATGTAAAAAAAAAGAAACATTATTTTTTCCTATTTGGATTAAAATTTTAGAGAAAACTAAGAAATACTCGAAAAATTAAATATTCGAGAAAAAAATCGAAAAAAAACTCTAAACACTACTTAAGAAAAATTCGCGCACGGTAAATCGTATAAGATCCCAATTTCTTGAAATAGAATATTTAGGATATTTGTTTTGTTGCTCAATAATTGCACAACAGTTCAATAATAGTTTTTTGGCAATTATTGAAGGAGCAGATTAAACTTCCAATTTATCATTTTATTCGCGTAATTCTGGTATTCTTTTAATAAGAAAATGACGAACATCTAAAATTTGTCAGTTGTATCCATGAATTCTCGAAAATATTAAACAAATACATAAATATATCTAGACATAAAATACACGAGTACACAAAATAATTTCCGAGAATTTATTCTGTGTTTGTGACTGTGCTCGTCGTCTTTTAATTCTAGCTACACGATTAACAGGTTAATTGTTAAAAACTTCGGAATTTCGTCTACATTGTATCACTTTTCTCTTGAATCATCTCAATCGCAGCAAAGTCTCTACTATAAGCAATAATATCTACCACATATTGATATTCGATTTACGTCAACATTTGGCTGGCAAATTTCCCTCCCTCGAATATTCCCCCTTTTTTCTTTTTTTCGTTTCTATCAATTAATCATCCATCGACCAGAGAGAAACGAATGAAAAATAGAAAAAGGAGAAGCATGAACGCGTGGGAGTAGAGGCACGTTGCCGTAGGGAGGAGGGAGGGAAAAAAAGTGATAGGTGAAAAAGCGAGAAAAATGTCAAAAGAAGAGATCGAAAAGGTTGCGGAAACGTAGACTCTCTGTTATAGTTAACAATGTGCACCTCGTCGACGTTGACGCAAGGTTGACACGTATAGCCATGTGTGTAAGTTAAATAAAGCTACATACGTGCGGACCCGATCCGCGGACCGTATATTCATAGGCGGTGTATGATCGGACATGTATGAGTGAACGCGAATCGATAAATTAGCGTGCCGACGTGTGTGTTTGATGACATGTTTCGAAGTCGTCTAACCGAGATAATAAATGCACCTACGAAAAATGCACGCTCCGATGCAACGCTTTGATGACGTGGTCATCGGTTGACGCAAGATGAATATTACGTGCGAATAAGATATCCCTAACGTCTTTCGACAAACTTCCTTTGCGTCAGTAAATGAGAACAATTTTAAACCTCAGTTATCTTTCTCGTGGAAATTTTATAGATTCACGCAATGCAACGTAGATTTTTCGTGACTTTATACAAAGTATATGAATAAATGTGTTTCCTTCCTATGTTCGATGTAAATTTCTATATATAGGGTGATCCGCGCGATTGTAACAATCTATATCCTTTTTTTTTTTTTTT